AGACTTTATAGCTGAACTAGGTGGTGCATTAATCTGACGGGTGCTGCAGTTCCTACAGTCCTGGTAAATCCCATTCAGGGCTGAAGGAATTTCAGGGCCTCAGGACAGACTGTATTCCAAGGACTCCTCTCCAGTGCCAGGTCTCCGTTCTAGTGGCATTCTTGGGTTTTGCAGTTAACAAATGTGTTTTTGTTCTTTCCCACTACACCCCCCACACCCCCGGCCCCCCCTCTGGCAGGTAAATCGCATTCGAACAAGAGACTTTGACTGCTGTCTGGCTGTTCCACTGATTTCCGAGGCAGGAGACAAACTGGACCTAGTCATTAGTCGAAACCCCCTGGCACTCGCTGCCAATGCCCAACTGGAGACCAGTGGGGAGTTAGTCCCACAGTCCTTGGGCGTGGAGGTCAAAACAAGCATGCAGACACTCTGAGGGAGGATTTGAATGGAAGGTACCTTTGGGCCCTGTCGTGGTGGAAAAGCTGATGAGTATCCATTGTGGTTTTGTTTTTGCACTGCTCACTGTAATGCTGTATGTAATGTAACTTGCGGGTGGGTCTGCAATTAGCTGTGACTCACAGACCACCAGGCATTGCTCTGAAAGTGCAAGCTAAACCAGACGAGCAGCTTGGACCTTGGTTAATGCAAATGGTAAAATGGGCTGCTGATAGCAGAAAACAGCATCCAGGGTAATTCACCTTTGGCAGGGCAACCTTCAGTCATTGTTCAACTCCAGTAGGCCTGAGCTTTCACTGTGCGTGGGTTCATGGAGAGTGGATCATCTCCTTGCCCCTCTAATGCCCTCATCCTGAAGGACTTGGCCATCCTTTAAACACACACGGTGCTATTTTTTTTTTTGCGTTGTCGTTTGCTTTCTTAATCATGTACAGTAAGAGTAAAACAAATCCTGGTTTCTTTGAAGGAAACCCTACTTCATTCCCAGGCCTCTTTAAAACACTACCACCAAATCTGACATTTGAAAATCTCCTTTCCACCTGAACATTCACCCACACTGGGCAGCACTAAATCCCATTTAAAACACAACTCAAAACTCGCTTGCTAGTGGCTAGATGCACTTTCTTTTGAAAGCTAAATCCTTTTGATGGATCAGCATCTGTCTCTAGTTGGAAATCCCACCCTCCTCACCCACCCCTTTGGAAATGCAAGGAAGCACTTTGTCCCCCTAGTTGACTCCAAGACACAATTTGGTTGTCTTTCTTCATACGTTTTTACAGAGCACTTAGTAGAACACAGCATCCAGGAAAGCCACTGAATGGCTGTCCTGAATCACTGGCCCTCTTGTTCACATAGACCATCACAGAGATTCCTCTCATTGAAAACCTGGGCTGTTCCTCCGAGTAAACAGCTGTACAACATTCATCTCCGGCCAACTTTGGGGTTATTTTTTTCCAGTGTTTTGAATAAATAAATCCTTGTTGTCTGCTGCCAAATGCTGGCACGAAAAGCCCTCTGCTAGATTGATGTTGTGTTTCCAGTTCCCAAGTGTGCCCCAGATTGGGTCACCTTAGTGCAAGTACAAGTGTGTACACTTTTTTAAATGTCTCTGATGGGTTTTGGACACTTCCCTGTAGTCTGCCATAGCTGCCCTCCTTTGCCTATCGTTAACCTCTCTGTGGTTTGTAAGCACGATGCCTTTTTCGGTAGCTCTTCCTCACCCTGTGTCTCCCTGCACCCAGCCCAGCTCCTTGTAGAAGATATGGGTGTGATATTTGAATTGGTTTAAAAATCTGCCTGCAGCAAACTAGTTGCGATGCAACCAAGGGCGTGATCTCTTCCTTTCTCGTCTCCAAACACACAATCGCTGGCACGTGTCAGTTTCTTCACATGGCAAATGTGATCGCCTGCTCCATGTTTCATATATTTGCACTTTATTCTGATTTATTTTTCAACTGATGTCGTAAGGGCCTGTTTTTTTTCCTGGGGGAGGGGATATCCTTTAAAGACCCCTGCTTAATGGAACTGGGTCTCCTCCTTCTGCTTGTTCTCATTTTATTTATTTATTTTTGTTGTTGTTGTTGTGTATTCAGGACGCCATGTAGTTTTGAAATGTTCATTGTTCCGCCAAGGCTGAGCCATGACTAATTCCCATGTCTGTACTCTAGCCAAATCTGCAACTGTCTCTCACATCCAGCTATTCGTAGGTGCAACCATTCTCGTCTCAAGTATGCAATATCCCATACCATTGCTGCCATAACTAGATAATGTGCCATAACTGATACTGCAGAGCATTGACAGTACAGCCTAAAGTGTTTTTATATGCAATATTCTAAAAGGCAGAAGCTCAGTGTGGCTTCTAATGGGTTTTTAATGAAGACTTTTATTAAAAAGGCTTTAAAAAACAACAACTTGGTCCTTGTATCCCTTCCTATGCATTTTGAATGATACTAAACTGAAATGCATTACTTAAATGTGTATTTTTATCCATATATTAGAGTGTATTCCTTGTAAAGTATTTTTATATGCTAATTTTCTTATGTATCTATGAAAGCACAATATTTAAAGGTACAGCATTTCAAAGAATATTTTAGTCCGGTTTTGGACCTATTTGTAAATCTCTGTATTTAACTGGGATTGCAATGACTTTGTTTGTTTTTTAATTAAATAAAAACAAGTGAAATGCATCTGGCCTTGCTCTTGAGTCCAGTTCTGCTAAAGGTTGGAATCCAGATAATACTGGCTGGTTGGATGGTCCAGCCTGCTCCCTCACATGCACGTTCGTACACTCGGAGCAGGCCAATGCAGAGGTGATTACGGACGTGGCCTTCCCTTCTGCTCCCTTCCCCTTTGTAGAGAATTCAATTTCCTGGTTGCTAGGATGGAGAAATTCTTTCCCTTCCCCCACATCAGGACAGGGTCTTTCTCTTGTCCCTGGACCTTGTGGGTAAAGGCGCTTTGAACCTTCCCTACACACCCATGTTTGGACCAGGCCCAATCTGGCTGTAAATTTGACTGAAAAGCTTTGAGAGTTTGGATCTGATCTTAGATAGCATTCCGATTGGAGAAATAGGAGTGCTTTTAGAGAAGGGTATAAATTCAAACCCAGAATGTAGTATTTTTCAACATCTATGGGATCCAACTCCAGATCTAGCCCATCTGTAATGGTTACCTATGATGCTCCATGTGCTGCTACCCCTAAAAGCAGCCCTCGGTCGTTAGTATAATTTGGCACACTAAGCTTGAAGTAGATGACTCTTCTGTACCCACGTAAAACCCTCTGATTCAAAACCTTGAGACTAAGGTGACCACCTGTCCTGAATTGGGTGGGACAGTCCTGAAATACAGAGTTGAAGTTCCAGTCCCAGGTTGAATTATTCCAAGATAGCATTTGCCCCGGATCACCTGCGGCACCGTTCTGTGCCTGCCCGAGGCTCGGGAGTGGTGCCAGCCTCTTCCTGCTGGGGCGAGGAGGGGCCTGAGGTGGGCCTTAGTCCCCCCTCAATAAGAGGCCCTGCCCCTTGGTGGTCCTCTCACCCTGAAGCCCTGCCCCATGGCCCGGCCCCCACCTGGGAAGCCCTGGACCCTCTACCTACCCTGGGTGTGTGCCCTGGGGGGGCGGGGGGG